GATTTAGCCATTTTAATCACCCAACCCATGCACTACGGTTTGGAAAATATTAAACGCAAATCCACCCAAAAAATTTAAACCCTACGGGTTGTTTCTAATTGAGTTGGGTCGGGTTGACGATAGTTTTAAGTAAAAACCTAACCCAACACAAAATATATAATTATTATACACCATAAAAATATTTTATAACTAATTAAAATTTCAAATTAATAAACCAGTGTGAAAGGTATCAAATTTCACAAATGTCGTTTCAGTTTTATTAAAATGAGATTTAATTCAACATATGTCTAGTTTTTTCACGATATAATAAAAGGTTATAAATGAATGTACCAATAATATGCTATTCTATTAAAATTGTACACAAGGAAAAGGATTACGTGAATCATAGCTATATTAAATTTATGTCTAAATTTTAAACCGAAGAATGCATTAGATTAGGGAGACCATGAGAGAAAAACATGGCGAAATATCTTAATTTTCTCATAAGTATGGCTATATATATGACATAAATATTTTTGGATACGAACTTTTACCAATAGTTGGAACACGGGTTGGGTCGGGTTCTACGGGTTGTGTAATCCAAAATCCAAACCCAACCCAATAGAGGAGGGTTGTACAAAAGAAAACTCTCACCCAACCCAAAACCTTCGTTTTAACTATAAATATGGGTGTGTTGGGTCGCGTTGGACGGCTAATTCGATTTACGGGTGTGTTTGTTCACCCCTACGGCCGTAGGTCCGAAAGCAAAACCTCCCCCTTCTTTACACGACCATTCTTTATGTGTCTCATCCATACTCAAAAGAAGACCAGAAAGAGAAAAGCTTCCACAAAACAGAGTATTACCTAGCAGATTGAATGAATCTTTTTGAACTTTCCCAAAACCAATTGAACTCTGGCCATTGTATTTGATGAGATATCGACTTGCACAATATTTAATTCTCGTGGTCCAAAAATGAAGAATAAGATTTATCATTAATAATTAATTGGGTGCATTCTTGATAGATAAATTATGTTCACAATTTATGCAGCCAACTCAAGGAAACACGTATGGTGCAATTGCATGGCTGGACAATTTATGGCATAAGTTAATTGGAATGCATTTTCATGGAATGCCACGTGAATGATGGAATTGGAGCTGGATTGTACCAATGGAAAAGTGAAGGCCACATGATTGATCACTAAAGAATTGGCTTCCTTTTTTTGCGGAAAGGAAAGAGCGGGATGTGGGGAGCAAGCCTTCCGCAGCGGACATGGAGTTCAGCACGTGCAACAGTGTTATTTTTGTTGGTTTTATTTGTTTAATTAATTATTATGTTTACTAATTAGTTTGAGATTTGTTTTCAAATTTCTTTTAGGTTAGATTTATTATTTTGAGACCTTTTTTAATAGAGAGTGTACGACCTACGAATTTAGTACCCAATATTCAAAAATTAATTCAAGAGTTTTACTCGAGTTCCATAGGAACGTTTTGTGCAAGCTTCTATCGAGAGTCTCCAGGAGGTGTTCACGTCTGAGTTCGAGTGTTCTCTTCGGATTTGGATCATATCAGTGTTGCCATTTCAAACATTCCTTCTAATCCTCTCCACCGACAACTAATCATTTCCACCTTTGAGCATCATGCATGTATCGTAGTGAGCGGAGAGAAGAAGAGGAGCTGGATGGTCATATTCAGCGCTAGGGAGAAGAAGAAAATATGATTTCTTGTTGGTATTGCCAACGAGGGAGAGAACATGAGACTAGAAGGGGGGGGGGGTTTGAATTCGAGGATGCTGGATCTTTGATAACGATGTAATTGCATGATTTTATACCCCTATTTCTTATCCATTTGCGGGACATAGTTGTGTGTTTTGTCCTATTTTACGCCGGGTTGTGCTACTTTGTCCTATTTCAGGTCCCAGGCGTCGAAGGGAAGGCCAAGCGCGAGTTTCGGAGCATTTGGAAGTCGTTTGGTCGAGCCAGGACCAAAACACGGGCAGGAGGCCTCAGGAACACGGCCGTGTTCCTGGCCGTGCTTTTACTGCCGAGGCTCTCCACAGGTGTGCTACACCAGCTAAAAAACACGGCCGTGTCCACCATAGAACACGCCCGTGTTTTCCCAAGACCGTGCCCGTGTATTTACCACGTGGCAGAGGGCACGGGCGGGCTGGATCAGAACACGGCCGTGTCCTCGACCGTGTTCTGGCCAATGATGCCCTTTTAGGCAGATTTCAGCCAAAAAGAGAGGGGATTCGAGTTTTAGAGAGACAAAGCGATTCCTAGAGAGAGAAAACGACGAACACGAGTCTCCAAGTGCCCTAGCTTGATCTTCATCACCATTGGAGCTTGGCTTGAGCTTGGAGGAGTGCCGATCAACATCCAGGAGCTGAAATCCATTCTTCATAGTATGGTTTCCGCATCTGATTCTGCTTTTGCTTCTTTCTCCATGGAGTAGTTCTCCCATTCATCTGGGTATGGGAAACCCTAGATTTGTATGTTAGGTTTGATTGTATGAACCCAAGTACTGTTTCTATGATTTGATTATATTCGATTGAGGTTTGAATGATTGAATGGCATGAATCCTGATCAAATTCCTGTTGTTTCTGCTTTAACCTAGAATGAGAATATCTGCCTAGGTTGATAGAGCACCCTTAATTGAAGGTAGTGAATTGGTGACTTTAGTCGAGGAGCCAATTCACTATTCTGTACCGAATTCAATTCCGTAGTGGAGGTTTGGTTCGTTAGGGCCTCAATTTGTTTACTCCGGTGGAGGTTAGTCGTCTGCTAGAGACTCAGATTGAGAGGGTCTGGAGACCTTTAGTTGAGACTTCAGACTGTTTGAGAACCTTCCGTAGTATAACTTTCATAGAAATTGAATTTGGTAATTGCAATCCGGCTTAACTGCAGACTAGGGGGAACCATATCCGGGTGACCTCTCTTAACCTGAAAACAACCGTTTAGTTGCTTTGCTTGCTTGTTACTTTAGACCTTCACTAAAGTTTCATTGCTAGATAATACGAATTCACTGAGTAGTCATCATATCTAGGACCCGGGTTGACATTAAAACCTAAACCCGCTATACTACGCTTTGGGAAGTGGTTTCACTTGGCCATTTTCTAGAGTGACAGTAGGAGTGAGTCAATCTTATTGCAACAAAAGAACAAGATGAACTCAAATTTGAGATTTAGGTTTGAGAAGTTGATTTTTTGGGTTTCTGAATGAAAAAGGAACAAGATAGGAATTCAAGGAGGCTTCAAAATTCTTGAGAAGAAGCATATCACCTACTTTACAGAAAAATCGAGGTAGCTACACTTAACTATCCTACTTATGATAAGGATCTCTATGCATTCATTTGAATATTGGAGACTTGGAAACATTATTTGGGGCCAAAGTAGCTTGTTATCCATACTGATCATAAGTCTCTCAAGTATTTGAAGAACCAACACAAGTTGAAAAAGAGGCATGCTCGTTGGGTTGATTTGATCGAATCCTTTCCATACGTGATAAAGTATAAACAAGGATGGGAAAATGTAGTTGTTGATGCTTTATCACGAAAGCATACTTTGATCACAACCATGGATGCTAAGTATGTTGGTTTCGAGCAAATCAAGGGGCTCTATGAAGGGTATTTCAATTTTGGAGAGATGTACAAATCATGTGAGAAGCATGAATAATGAACATTCTACATGAGTGATGGCTATCTCTTTCGTGGGAACCAATTGTATGTTCCAAGAACATCACTTCGAGGGCTATTGTTGAGGGAGGCTCATGGAGGAGGATTAATGGCTCACTTTGGTGTAGCCAAGACTTTGATTTGCTTACAAGAGCACTTTCATAGGCCTCACATGAAGGAAGACGTGAAGAATCTATGTGAAAGGTGTGTGGAGTGTTGATAAGCTAAATTGAAATTGCAACCCACTGGATTGTACACACTGTTGCCTATACCATATGAACCATGGGCTGACATCTCAATGGATTTTGTGCTGGGATTTCTGAGGACAAGGAGAGGAAGAGATTCAATTTTGGAGGTGGTGGATCGATTTTCAAAATTGCATACTTCGTTCCATGCCATAAGACGGATGATATTGTAAATATGGCTAATTTTTTCTTTAAGGAGGCCGTAAGATTGCATGGAATGCCTTGTGCGATTTTGTCTGATCGAGATGCAAAGTTTTTTAGCTACTTTTGGAAGACGTGGAGAAAATTGGGGACAAAGCTTTTATTTTCTACAACTTTCCATCCTCAAACGGGTGGACAAACTGAAGTGGTGAATCGTACGCTATCTTAAATGCTTCGAGCATTCATCAAGAGCAACATCAAGGTTTGGGAAGATTGCTTACCTCATGTGGATTTTGCCTACAACAGATCAGTGCAATCGACAAAAAAGTTTCACCTTTTGAGCTTGTCTATGGTTTCAATCCACTTACACCCTTGGATTTGACTCCATTGCCATAAAAGGAGCAAGTGAACATGGATGGAGCCAAGAAGGCCGAGTTTGTGAAGAATCTTCATGAGAAGGCAAGGTTGAACATTGAAAGGAGAATATAACATATCTTGAAGAATGTCAATTTGAAGCTAGAGATTGGGTGTGGGTGCACATTAGAAATGAGAGATTTCCACATCAAATGAGATCTAAGCTGCTACCTCGAAGTGGGTCCCTTACAAGTGATTTCGATGGTTCGGAGTATTGTCTACAAGATTGATTTATCAGGAGAGTATGGGATAAATGCAACCTTCAAGGTTTCTGATATTGCACCATATATAGACGGTAATTTAGATTTGAGGGCAAATCCTTTTCACGGTGGTGGGACTTATGATATCGTTAAGACTAAGACTACCACACTAGAAAAATGTCCTCTTACAGGTTGTAACACCCTAACCCGGCCGGGTACTACTTTTACTAAAATGCCCTTGATAAATAAAATACTCAAATCCTAAATTGCAACGGGAAAAATTTTCATAAATAAAATACTGAAAAACACACACTTGTAGTTCAAAGAAAAGCCCTAACATGTGGGCAAATTAACTCAAACTTTAAAAACTCAACTTGATCTCCGGTCTATGCTCATAATCATAAAACATAATAACTAACTAGTCTCAAGTGTTGTTGCTTGTGTGAAAAACTCTGATTAGACATCCTCTGTGACGCTCGTACCGTCCTCCTCTAGCTAGCACTCGAACTGTTTCTCTAGATCTCGCTGCTCCCTAACTGCTCCTCTAGCTTCTTCCTCTTCAAACTGGTGAGTGAGTTGGGGTCAGTCTACGCCCTTACGTTTTAAAATCTAGTACTTGAGTATTTTACTTTAGATACTTAACTTAAGCTGGTGGGAGTTGTTTGTACTTCCCCTCTTAACATCTTAAACTCATCATGGTGGCTCTTCACCACGATTCTCAAGAGCATAACTGCTGCTCATCTTAAAAGTCTCAAGAGCATAACTGCTGCTCTATCTCAAAATGTCTCAAAGGCAACGGATTAGCGCTAGTGATTAAAAACACTTAAAACGACTTCACCTTCTTGAAGGTGAGTTACTTCTTAAAAAGAACTTGTTTCTTAAACTTTAACAATAACTCATAACACAACGCTTTAAGGTAAATAGCACAAATTCACCACAAAACACCTCAAATCATAGCTCAAGCAAAGCACAAATAACCAATCACAAACATAATCAAGCAATGGTAACCAATTCACTAAAATACTTAAAATCATAATACTTAAAAAAATACGTAATGCGTAGAATTTACCCCATTTACACTCACCTTGTGCTCAACCTTATCGTATTGAATCCGCTGCTGTCGATTTCCCTCCACTTGTTCGTTACAGGCTTGCTCACCATATCCGGTTGAAGCTTTGCATAAATTCCTTTAGGCAGCCACACATATCGAACCACAACTAAAGCAGTTGCAGGAGAAGGAGTGTTGTCTAGGGGGAATAGATTACTCCATACATGAGGAGGAAGCCCAACTTGACCTTCCTCTGCAGTGAACTCCAGAGCACCAGAATGGGTTTCCTTCTGGTTCGTTTCTGAAGCAGCTTCATGATGAACCATGGATAACTGGAAGTACAATGACCCTTTATCAAAAGCACCTTGATCGGATAACTCAGTGAAACAAGAAGGGGGCAGTTTGATCTAATCCCCACTTCCTTGGAAACCTACAACTTCTAACACACGAGAGAACACAATTCCTCTCCCAGCAATCAAATTCTCTTGCATTTGCTCATCTGCCTTGAGTTGAGCTTCGGCAGCTTCAAGCCTCCGGGACCTCTAAACAGCTTCGAGCCGCTTCTTTGGCCTTCCTATCTCTTTCGAGTCTCAATCTAGATCTCTCCTTCCTCTCCTTCTGCTCCTTTTCTAACTTCTCCCTCGCCCTTCTCAAATCGAAATCCATGATCTAACCCGCTGCCGGAAAGCTGCCTACTTTTCGATTGGGCTCTGATCGCCGGCAAAATGGATTTCAGGGAAAGAAAGTCGAGACGTGATGTGACCCCCATTGAGCCGCTAAATTTAGTTTGCTTCTTCATTATTTTGGACATCTCGACAACTAAGCCACATCATCCATTCGGTGGCGGTGGTGACCCTGATAAACATGACAACTCCAATTCCCAGCGTGGCTATGAGAGGGATTCCTAGAGGAAGTAGAGATAGAGATGGGGCACGGCGTTTGATGCTAGCTTAGGTTTAGGTTTAACTAAATTGAGGAAGCCGAGTGGGGGTGGGGGTTTTAAGGCTAATTTATAGTTTAATTAGTCCAATGGAGTATTTTTGGAATTTCACAATTACGAGAGTGAGTTTAATCCGAAATTCAGTTAACGTCCATAATTTCTCACTTCATGTCGAAACGCGACATCGTTTGAACTATTAGTTCATATATTTAATCATCATCGATAATACGGTGAAACTTGATACAAGGGTATAATAGTCATTTTGACTTTTGGGAAGAGCGGGGTGTAACACAGGTTCAAAGTACAAGAAGCTAAGGGCAGAGTTTGTGAATTAGTTGAGCAATTACTTTGCTAATATGGGTGTGAATCTGCTTAAGGGGGAACCCCATGATTTTGCTGCAATTCTTGGAAGAATATGGCAGATTGAAGATGAGGTTAGATGAAGGTGGAGGATTAAAGGAAGGGTTTTGAGAAGTACTTGGCCTAAAGGAATTTCATTTACTTAGCATAGAAGGAATGATAATTTATTAAATCCTTTATGGATTAGGGCTAGGTCACGGGCGGATTTGGTCTGCTTATTCTTTAAGTTTTTTTTCTTTTTTAGTTTTGGATTTGTGTTAAGTAGTCTATTTAAAAGAGGTTCGAGTTTCATTAATTCATTCATCGAATAGTTTATCAAATAATCAAAGAGTTTATCTCATGTTCCTTAGTGAACCTTCTGCCCAAATCTTCTGTGGAGGAATCCAACAGTTTGTGTGTATCTTATCAACTAGACGATCGCATCCTTTTGTGGCGAGTTCTACCCACAGTTGGTTAACTCTTCTAACAAGTTGGGATTTTTGATCGATTTCTGTTTTATCCTTTGGTTCAAGTGAAGCAACATGAAGATATAATTGGTTGCGTACTTTGGTAACCATTCGATCTAGGAGTTCGAGCTTTAATTCATATCACTTCGAGATTTCTCCAATCTTTCGTGTAGTAGGATTCCTCATGATTGGCTTGATGGTGTCAATGTCCTCATCACCCCCCCCCCTCTTTAAAAGGATTTACCCTCAAATCCAAACTATCATAAAAAAAGGGATCTAAATAAAAACATTGAATGTAGCACTAATCCCATCTGACCAGGCAGATCTATCTTGTAGGCCTTGTCATTGATCTTAGTCATCACGGGAAATGGTCCATCTCCGCGAGGAAGAAACTTAGAATTCTTTTGTTGAGGAAACCATTCATTTCTCATATGAACCCAATCTATAAATTCAATCTATGAGGATGCCTATGCTTGTTCACATTCTTCAGAATCAGCTACTTACGTCGCTCAATGTTTATTCTCACTTACTCATGTAGAACCTTCACGAATTATGCCTTCCTGGGATTTGTTTTGCTATTCCTCTTAGGTTAGTTTTATGTTTTTTTTACCTCTATAAATAGAGGGAGTAAAACCTACGAATTTTGTACCCAATTTTCAGAAATCAAAGTCAAGTTTCGAGTTCAATACAAACGAGTTTCTTTTCTGCAAGCTTTTGTCGAGTGTTTGCAGGAGTTTCACGTGTCTCTTATCAGCTAGAGAACGCATCTAGTTGTGGCAAGATCTACCCTATAAAAATTGCCCCTTTTCATTAGTTGATTCTGTCCGATTGGTTTAATATACCAACTGCCCTTTGTCACGAGTTGAGATTGTCTTATTGATTCCCCATCTATCTTTATTTTCGAGTTCAAGAAAGGCGATATCAATAAAATCACAAAAAAAATCGTTGACGCTGTGTACTTTGGTCATATCATCCGAGTTCGAGGGTTCTCTTTCGGATTCGGATCATATCAAGTGGTATCAGAGACGGGTTTAAACCCAGCGGCGAGAAGAAGGTGTGTTCGTATATCTTTAATTTTTTGTTCTTGTTATTTTTCGTTGATTTATATCCAGAAAATCCAAAATATATATATAGAGGTTAAAAAAGGCAGACTGGAAAAAAAGTTAGATTGAGAAAAAGGGGTGAAAGTTGTTTGCAGTAGTTAAAAAAAATTAGAAAAAGTAATTGTTTCTTTGTGTCTTGTGATCATGTTAGGGTTTGTTTTTATTGATTATTTTTTCTTTCCTTGTTTAATTTTAACGCGAGTAGGTAGAGAAAAAAATATTTCTATCTTCCTTCAGTTTACGTGAGTAGTATAAAAGTAAACAAAAAAATTGTTATACAACCACAAAGCTGCACGTGGGTAAACAAAATATATTGTGTTTTGGTTTTTGTGTGTTTGTGGTTCTTATTAGCTCTTTGAAGTCAGCTTCCATGAAGCTACGAAGGAGTTTTATAGACACGGTGTGAAACTTTACCTTCCATTGTTTCATGGCAAAAGGGATCCAGAAGCCTATCTTGATTGTGAGGAGGAGATAGAAGCCTATCTTGCTATGACATTCACTTATTATGCTAATGAATGGTGGGGTCATCTATGTTTATTGTGGATCCGTGAGGGCATTGGAGAAATAGATCGATGGGCAACAATGAAGAGACCTATGAGAAAGAGATTTGTACATGATGATAGATTTCCTCAAACTACTCTCCAAAGTTGAGACCAAAGTTTCAAAATTTCTGAAGATTACTCTAGGAGATCTTTTCCTTCACGAGAGATAGAGTCAAGCTGACAAACTACTAATCATAAGAAGGAAGATCCAACACCTACAATATCTTCAGGGAGCACATCAAAACATTCAAGTGATTGGAAATCTTCTTATGGAGAGATAACGAGAAGCTTAGCTAGAGTAAATGAGCTACTTGAAGAAGTCCAAAATATCCGTTGCTATTGATTTAAGTGATGATTTATCAAGCTCAATTCGAGGTGAGAAAGTTATAGTAGAAGCTGAAGTCAAGGATGAGAAAGAAGATGCTACCACGAATCTGATTACTTTCCAAGTAGAAGAGCAAATAGAAAAAGAAGATGTTCTTGTTGGTGGACTTACTATAGTCACTTGTGAAGAGGATGCACAAGTTTTGATTTCATTTCAAGAAGAACCAGAACTTGAAGTAGAAGAGGCAGAAGAGATGAAAGAAGATATTCTTGTTGATGTTCCGATCCAGATTTGAGAGCATCATGTTGGAGGAAAGTCAGTCATGAATCATAAGAACAAAGGAAAGAAATCGGGGATAGAATGGGTCAGCCTTAAAATGAATCATAGTTCAAGGAAAGAAGATATCCTGGGAGCGGAGCAATTCATTGGGGGAACTTTTACAGGAAAGAATTCAAAGAAGAGACTTGCCATTCCTGAAGATGCAACGGCTAGTCCCTGAGGAGTATAAGAAGAACGTCTCTGAATCAAGAACATGCACTTTTTGAGAGATCAATCCTGCAAGAAGAGCTAAAGAGAGTAGCTAGCGAGGTTGATACGAAAAGAGAGACTGATTCAATTTCTGGAGAGACTTTGAATTGGGGAGTGTTTGGGATAAACACGGTAGCTGGATAGCTGAGAGATTTCTAGATACTAGAGAACTGGTCGATTTCCAGGATTGGATCGATTGAGTTCATTGGTGTAAAAGTGTAAAATACATCACGAACAGTAAGCTTAGTGCAACGTCGGAAATCACAGAATTGTGACTTTCCGGCCGTGGATTAGTCAGAGTTGGGATTACTTTTTCCCAGCTCTGGATACCACGTAAAAACTGACTGTGTCTTCTTTTGTTTATTGTGCTTAAGTGTTTCCTCTGTTTATGCAAGGTTTCTGAGTTTGTTCAGAACAGGGGAAGTTAGTCTCTGAAACCAAACAGAGAAGTTGAGAAGAGAAGGTTGAAACGCAGTGGATTGTGAGTAGACTAAAACGAGAAGTTGAAACAAGAAGGTCAGAACGCAGCGGATTAAGAGAAGGCGTAACCAGGCTTCTGCGTTCAAAGAACCGGGCTCTAACTTGAGTCCTCGTGGGCTCTGCGGGTCAAGCCCAACAATAAATCAATCTATATCTTAGAACCCATAGCATCTATTTCCTGTTTGATTAATCGTGATTCAGTTTTTGTTCGAGATTTCCTTTGTTCTTCACTGATCTTCTACCAAAAAGCAGAGTTAGGGTTTCAGGTGGAAGAGGCGAAAGAGACGCACTTGTAGCCTGGCATCTCGCGCTCGACGCCATTAACACGTGGTATCAGAACCCCGTTACCAGTTGGAAAGGGTCTAACGACCTCTGGTGGATCCAAGGATGGCGTCTGGGTCAGCAAGCAACGCACCACTGTATCTTGCAGATGGCTTCTCTCAGAATCGGCCTCCAAGATTTGAAGGAGTTAACTATGGGTACTGGAAGAATCGGATGGAGTTGTTCGTTGGATCAACTGATCCAAAGCTATGGGCAAGGGTAATCAAAGGGCCACATGAACTCAAAGCCGATCAAGAGAAATGGACTGAAGAAGATTACGAGAAGTTTCAACAAAATTGCAAGGCCACAAATCTAATGTATTGTGCCTTAGGACCAGAAGAATACCACAAAGTGGCTGGGTGCAAGACAGCCAAGGAAATATGGGACAAGCTTCAAGTGACGTATGAAGGTACTTCACAAGTCAAAACTTCTCGGATAAACTCCTTAAAGCATCAATTCGAACTATTCAAGATGGAGGAAGGTGAGTCAATTAGACAAATGTATGAGAGGTTCACAAAT